CCTCCCCCACATGCCAGTGACCAGGCGTAGTACGCATTGACCTGACGACAGCGACGTATCCCCGCGATCAGGCGTATGTGGCAGCAAGCAGGTCACAGTCACTCTGTGACCAACGGCCAGGTGATGTACAATCTAGCGACTCGAGGACATGCACGAAGGGAATGTGGGCTAGAAGACGCGACTCAAAACCATTCCTTCAACCCCGTAGGCATGTAATCGTCTTAAAGTCAGCAAAAAATTATAAAGCATAAGTTCCAAATCCTAGATATAGATTTCGTTGCGCTATGATTTAATTTTATTAGATTCGGGTATGTACATCGGCTGATAATCCTAACATAACCAATAACTGTTATAAGAGCCCACTCTATTACAATCTTTATGCACTATTCGAATTAGGACTTACGTGAATATACATGATTAGTTGTGTGGACACAACGCATAGTATATTATAGTTGCGAATATATTGTTTTTTCATGAATTCTTGAATTCAACAATTATGGCATGTATGTATGTGTTCAGTTCATGTATGTTTTATAAGCCTAGTACATGTCGGGATTTTCTTTGGGTTGTGCAATTGTTAATAATTTAAATGTGTGGTGGACACCTCATAGTTTATTATTTTATTAGATCGTTCGTGCATGACCCCTATGTAATCACAGGGTCAATTATATATTTTTCATTATGTTTTTGTTTTTTTATGAATTCTTGAATCCGACATGGCATGTATGTGTTTAGTTCATTTATGTTTTATAAGCCTAGGACATATCAGGATTTTTTTTGGGTTGTGGAATTGTTATAAGAATTTAAACGTGAGATCGTTCTTGTACGACCCCTATGTGGGTCATAGGGTCAAATTATATATTTTTCATTATGTTTTTTGGTAGACCTAGTCAACGCGGACGAACCTAGACGATCAGGACGACGGCCGGCTAACTCCGACGAGGCGCGCCTGCCGCGACCCCATGATCGTTGCCACATGTAGGTATCGTGCGGATGCAGGAACGCCTGCTCACAACTTGTTACCGGTGGCGGGCATCGACAAGGCATATGCTAAGACGCCTCGTATGGCTTGCAAGAGCATCGGACGATGTTGGTGTGGCGTTAAGCGGTGGCATACGGCTCGGCGAGCGCGGGCAGCGACGAGCTTGCGAGTCGCTCGTTGAAGCCCTTGCGTTCGCCGCACGCAAAACTTGTCAAGAAGCAGACCGGGAAGCACCCCTGCGAAGGTGCAGCGCTTATGGCCACACGTGCCTCACTCTAGTGCGGCTGACGAGCGGTGACGTGCATGCCATCATTTGCGCAAAAATGAACACAGAGTTGGTCGCGCATGCCTTGTGCGCGCGCGCTAGCGCCCCGACAACATTCTCGCGCTACATGGCTGCAACACGCCCCGACATTGGCGGCGACAGTGTGACCAGCAGTGGCGGCGCAATTTTTTCCCGATGGGTAACTTTCTATTAGGGACGACGGTTTGGCATATTCGGTTTCTCTCTTGTCAAATAAGATATAAAAGAATTGAAAACATCGATAATTCATCTCCTCGCTCTCCATCAAGAATATCGGTGAAGATCAAAATAAAACTCATGTCACGTCGGCCCGCTATTGTGTCTAACCAGCCAATCATTTTTACAGACTTTTAAGCCATATGCAGTCGAAGAAGACATGGACATTTGATTCCCAGCCTCCATATCTATGGAAATTTACTTCCACAATTATGTGGTGTCGAGCTAAATTTTTGGACTGCGGAAATGCCACATTACTCAGTTTCCACATAAAAAAAATTCACTTTTGGAGCAATATTTATTTTCCACAAAGCTTTCCACCACCTCGTGTTAATAGTCGAACAAGATTCTTGGATTCATCAAGAAGGGATTAGAGTAAGTGGTAGCCACTTTTCGCCGTATAAGAACCATTTTTTTGACTGGTGCCAAATAATTTGATCTGCAAAGTGACAAAGACACAACGAGATAGAAAAGATCTTCTGGGCATCAAATGGTAATATATGCTATTAATTAAATTCTCGTTCCAAGTTGCGCTTACCCCAATAAGATCCTTAACTCAATCAATACCAACCACCTTTCTGGAGAAAGGTTGAAAATAGCGAAAGTGGGGTATCCAAGGGTCAGTGTAATCTTTGATTTGCGACTCGTCCCCAACTCACCATCTCAAACTATTTTAAATTACCTCTCGTCTCCACAAGATCTACTATGCATGGACCCAAACCTCAAAGAAGTTATCAGAAGGGAAGTACTTAGCCTTAATCACCCGAGATACCAATGAATAAGGGAACACAATCATCCGCCACGCTTGTTTCCTCAGCATTTCTTTTTTAAACAAGTGAAAGTCCTTGAAACCCTTCTCGTTTTGGCTTCATCATTTTCTCCATTTGACCCATGATAGTTTTCGTTTGCCAAGTCGAGAATCCCACAAAAATTGAACAACAATTTGTCTAATTTGATTACAAAGGGCATTGGAGAATGAAAAGAGACTCATAGAGTAGACATACATCTATTGTACAACATCTTTAAATTTCACATCCAGCTGAGAAAAAAATGATTGCGGTTCCGACTCTAGAGTTGATTCTATTTTTTTACAGATAGAAGCAAAAGCTCGACCTTTGTCACGACCAACCATAGAAGGTAGCCCAAGATATGTTTTGTGTGATACAGCGATGGAATACGGAAGAGTGACCATATTACCTATCGTATATCCTGAGGAGTGTTGGGGGAGAAAGAAAGTGTGGTTTTCTCCAAATTAACTTTTTGGCCCGACGCTAGCTCATATTGATGAAGAATGCTAACAATGAACGAAGCCACAGTTGGATTGGCCTTTGAGAAAATAATGGTATCATCCGCAAAGTGGGAGATCGGAGGTCCGTTCCTGCTACATTTTAAGTCATCCATCGCGTCATTCATTTTAGATTTTTTCTAAGTTGCCGAGAATCCCTCCAAACAAAGAATTAATAAGTATGGAGATAAAGGACATCCTTGACGAGGTATCCCCCGAGAAGGTTGCACCTACCCCATATTTTGGTCGTTGATACTGAAAGTAAATTGAACCGTAGAGATGAAATTCCGAATGAGTTTTCAATAGCGAGGAGGAAATCCCTTTTTAACCAGAAGTGCCTTAACATAAACTCATTCAACTCGATCATAAGCTTTGCTCATATCAGGTTTAATGACCATCCAACGAGAATTGCCATGCCCTTTATTAGACATTGAATGAAAGAGTTCAAAAGCTAAAATTCTAATTTCAACAATCCAAAGCGCTTTTGTCTAATAAAGGCTCAAAGCGTTGTGATTTTTAATGCAATAAGCAAATAACTATACAGAAGAAATGTTGAATTGTGAAGAGTACTTTTAATGTTTAATTTTACTCAACGCATACATAATTTGTTCCGTTCATAATTTCTGAATATATTTCTAACCTAATTCTAATTTTTACCGCTTTCACCCTATTATAAAAAGTAAACGAAAGTGGCAACTTATAATGTTTTGCCATAAGAAAACATGGGTTTATGCTTGACAGTTGGATCTAAAGAACAATAAGGAAGACTTCTTTGTTTTGTATTGGTTTTGTTCTTTGTTTTGTATTGATTTTTTAGAAAGGTTCTTGCTATTCTTATTCGGGTGACCCCCAAAGCAAGCCACCCCAGACATGAATAAATATTCATGAATTCCGAAGATCTTGGGCATGGGCCCGGCTTGAAGCCTGAAGGAAAAAGTACATATATACACATATATTAGCTTCATCCTTCCCTATATGCAAGGGGAATATATTCCTTACAGATTTATGCAACTACAAGATTTTATTTCCACAAATGCCATATATTAATCTTGAAAATCTCTCCCCAATAAAAGCAAAATATTAGGTAATTGATAAAGGATGGTATTTTTTATCATTATTTGATTGATAAAGAAAAGGAAGATAACAACCGTACGGTTAAAAAAAATGAGACTGATTCAATTTCCCGATCTGTTCATACGCGGGCCTCTCGGCCGTCCACCAACCCCGCCAATTCGCGTCGCCTATCTCCACCACGGGCCCTGCCACTTCATGTTTGAAGACCGCCTTCAACTGGAGCTTGGTCGACCGTCGATGCTTGAAGGGCGAGCCATATTCTTCGTCAGTTTTGGTCGCCGATCGTCGCACTCGTGCAGAGCTATCCTTTACCATTCGCCGCCATAACCCGCCAGTACAGCCGATTGACCGACGCGAACCCGCCGTCAGTCGTTCCTCCATACCAGATGAAGGGTGATTTCTTTCTTGCATGCTCGTCTCATCTACGTGATCATCCTATTACAAAACAAAAAATTTAGTTTAAGTTCCACTACACAAACAACAAAAGAAGTATCAGGTCCAGATAAATATACTACATGTATACAGAATATATACCACAAACATACTCTACAAAGTTTTTAAAAACAACACAATTAATAAACAATATGTATACGAAAAATATACATCATATATACCTAGGATCATGCCGATCCTTATGATTTTAAATTCAAATATTTCATCTAGACTCAGCTCGTGCAAAACAACACAATCAATAAACAGTATATATACGAAAGATATACAGTATATATACCTAGGATCATGTCGATCCTTATGATTTTCAATTCAAATCTTTCATACGAAATATCCAAACTATACACACTCTAGTAGTGTGCATACGAAAAATATAAACAGCATATATACGAAAAATATACAGTGTATATATCTGCAATTATACAAACAACAACAAAATTATAAATATACAACATATATGGTCATCCGCTCACTAAACCTAACCACCAAATTCTCCGATGGCCTCCACCAATAACCCCGTTGCCCCTGACCACTTCAATGAAGACGAGGACCTCCTCGACGAAAAGGAATTCTCTAATCACGATGAAGACGACTCCGCCTCCTCTCCCGCCCTCGCCGTCGATCGCTCTTCACTTTCCACCTCCGACGCCTAGGTTATGATCATCGTCCCCGGCATCCCCGATCCCCACATGAGCAGCCGCAGCCACCACCACCACCACCAGCAGACGCTGGAAATCATTATCGCCAAAAGACTGGTCCCACCGAACGAGATGATGCTTTCTTCTCTGAAGGGTAATGGCGAGGAGAGAGAAAGGGGTTACTGAAAATATGAAAACGTGTGACTTGATAAGTGATAGATATCAATCAATAGTATACCATATATATATATATATATTAAAAAAATGATTTGGTAAGATATTAATATTTGTAACTAAAATAATTGCATAAAAGTAATTCAGTTGTGTAAAAATGTACTAAAAACATAGGGTAACATTTTTGTCTACAAAAAATATGTGGTTAGGGAGTTAAATTTCTTTAAGCCTGAAATCAAGGCAGAAGACAAGTGCCGTTGGAAAAGAATTATAGCTTCGTTCGTTTTGAGTATTTTTATTGGCTACATTTGTGCATTGCGATTGTTTATGGAAAAACATTTTCCTTCAACAGATATTCTGACGTCTGAAAAATAAGATTCCCAAAACAGCAGCTCCAGATTGTTCATCGAAACCAATTGTTGCCGATCAAATTCATTTAAACCAGTGTTTCTTCAAACTGACACATGTTCAGCCATAAACACCATTTTCTTCGAAATAATTGTTGCCAAGACATTTAGCTGTTTATACGTGCATATTATATTTGTAATATATTTTGTCTGATACTTTTACATGGAACAACACTCTTTTGAAGAATCCAAAAACTCACAACACATCCAATTGTGTAAAACCCTGCCGAATATTACCAACACTAATTCGTGGGCACAGAATGATATCCACAAAAAATGCAGTTCAGTTATATAGCATTGAGGTAAACTACAAAAGTTACAATTCTCGATTGCGCAAAAGGAAAATGGCAACTCTTACACATCATTGGATACATATCTACAAGACGCGCAAACTCTGCAATTTTTTCTCATCTAAGGCAAAAACGAGCAAATGCATCTTGGGAGAAATCAAGTGAAGGCATCTTCTCTATCACCCTCTGCAGTGGCACCTTCCTCAAGGTTGCTGAACTCCAGGAAATGGGTGGGGCGGTGGTCCTCATGGTAGTATTCATGGGGTGTGCCCAGCTTCAACCCGTATGTCATGCCTGGAGCATGTTTTACGCCCATAAAGTTGTAGTTCCAAGGACGGTTGTCAGGTATCTGAAAAGTAGTTAGATTTGAAAAAACAAGTAAGCTCCCTGTTTGTGAGATTAACATAACAAGACTAAACCCTTTTTCGAATATTACATATGAACCCCCTTGTGTTCTTTCTTTTTTTTTTTTTTAACCGAAATGGTTTAAGTAAGTGCTGAAGCATTACCATGTAGAAACCGAGGAAACGGTCGCTCAAAAGCATCTGAACTTTCTCGTAGTAAGTCGGCAGATAACCATGTGGATTGGCAGGTGCATCCTTATTACTCTTACCCCATTCATACCCTGATGGAGTTAGCTTGTATGCAGTTAATGAGCAAGAACCAGGAGTGAAACTGCAAGTCAGAATTATGCATTTCTCTCCATCCCATTGTCTGTTGTTTGCCAAGATACTAGCATGGCTCACAAGATCCTACATTCGGCAAATCTTATCTTAATATTATAAAAACACCAACCACCGAGAAAGGACATATAAAATATAATTACAGTACAGATAGTAAGTGCTAAACAAAGAAAAGGAGCCGTCTTTCAATATTACAGATACATCATCGAATCAATATGTTGCAATTTTACAAATTTTATCAAATAATCTAAAATACCTCGATGGTGTTTATTTGTAATGATATAAGCTAACGGGATCTTATAATTTGATCGATCCAAGGACTGTTAAACTTAAATATAGACTTATCATGACTTCAAACCTGTGGTGACAGCTGAGGAAGCTCATTTGGCTGTGTGTGCAACCATCCTAAAGGCTCCAAGTCATTCAGGAAATCATGCTCAGGAAGTGCCAATGGTAGATTAACCTGCTGGTGTGTACCCCACTGTGGCGGCATGGCGATACAGCGGATCTCCTTCACCTGGGGGTTGTCCGGAGGACTTACTCCATAAAGGTAACCAGCAATCTGAGTGCGCAGGTCAGCAATGCAAATGAACTTCTTCAAGATATTCTTGGGCATGATGTAAGTATACCCCGTTTCCTTCATGAATTAATCAAAACAAGAAAATTAGTAAAACAAGTATACAGATATATATGATGTTATTTATGTAAAATACACGCAATCATATTGAAAAAACTAGGGCAAATATACCTTAATGTCCTCTGAGTTCACATATATGTGATTGACGCGAAGATGGAGATTGGTGGCTGATATAGCTCGGACACGCCAGTCAGTTTTCGACCCGAAAGCAGCCTGTTCGTAAGGACTGATAGTCGTGACAATGATGGAATCACCATGCACATTTGTTGTTCGAGTAGTGACTGCTGTGAGCTGACTGGCCTCCTTTGCCTAGAAAATAATTGATAAAGCAGTATTAAAAACAGGGACAATCAACTAAATGCAAGAGGGAAATATTATGCCGCAGAAAATAGATAAATTGCCTGTTTCTCAATTTCCGCAATTTGTTGTCGCTGTTGTGAAGGCGGAGTGATCTCTGCTCCAAGAATTATATCACGGATTTCTGATTGGGTCAATGCCGACGTGTTCACGTTGTTCTTCTTGGCATAGTCAGAAAGGATCAGATCTCTGAGGGCAACTTCAACCTACAGGTCATAGGACACAGAATATGAGAAATACAATCCTCATTACCATATAACAGAAGAGATGAGAAAGACTCAATCATCTCTCAAGATTACAGATAACCCACTTGATTTGCCATGCTTTCTTCTACAAAATGGAGATCATTATTAGGGGGGTCAATATTTAAAGAGAGTGTGCATTTCATGAGATATTTAATTATTTTAAAGGGATAACTTTTTTTAATAGTTAAGTTAAATGTGAGTGTAGTTTCAGTAGTAATTTCAAGGATAATAATCCCAGAAGAGGTTTATTAAATTGTCGTACCTTTGTCCACTGGTCATCTGATAAAGACGGCCAGATATGGTGGGGCTCGGTGATGATAGTCTTGTCAGGCTTCAGCAACATCTTTGCCTTCTCATTGTTGACATGAAGAGCTCGCAAAATCAATATCAGCCTCGAAAAAGCTGTGTATGATGATATAGTCTTCAACCAGTCGTCATATATGTTGAACAAGACCATCTGGGGCTCTGTGGCCTTCAGGATCAGATCACCAAATTTCTCAATCTTCAAGCAGGCTTGGAACGGCAGCTGCAACTCACTTCCTTTGATGACAATATTTGGGAAATCGAGCAAGTGCACTTCAAGAGGATCCAACATTCCTTTCCGTGTCACAATTATTTGTTTCGGCTGCTCTTCAACAGGCAAGGACCGGACTAGGGCAGCAACTTCTTCAGCAGTTTTCCACTTGGCCAGCTGACCAAGACGCTTTTGCCCAGCCCATACACTCGTGTGAATGACCTGTACAAGTACAAGAAGAGAGAAAAGTTGAATGTCCAAACTGCATAAAAATAAAAATAAAAAATAAAAAAAAAAGAGGTGAAACAGATAAACAACAGTCAGAAACGAACCTTCAGAAATAGTTGGCCAGTTCTAGGGTTGAATATGAAAATGGCACCATTGATAGGTTTTGTTGTGAGATTTCCCTCAAACGTCTTGTGTATCGTGACACGATACACATTCGTGTCATCCACAAACCAGATTATCTGATTGCTGAATATCTCCCCATAATTTTGAGATGACAGGTAAGGTTCTGTAGGTTCTGAAGAATACAATTGCAGCCCTTTCCTAATACGTTCTCTCAGCACATACAACGCTGGATTGGACTGCATGCAAAAAAATGCATTTAGCAACTGAATAAAAATGACGTGTTAAAACAGTAACTATAAATATGTTGATGCATACCTTCATGATCTTGTTCATGGCCTGAGCAAGCAGTGGCTTAGACCCAGGGAACCAGTTTCCAAATGCAGAATGCAGATTATAAGCTAAATCAAGTCCAATCATAACCCCTGCACAAAACATAATATGAGTTAAAAACTAATATGTACGAGAAATGTCATTCCAGGTGCCATACACTAATAACATACCAGTTGGTGATGGATATATCGACATATTGTCCGTCGTATAGTCCATAAACTTCGCCCTGGTGTACCGCTCAATATCATGGGAATCATAATCACCCCACCTTAGCTGCACGTCTATCCAATATTTATTACTAGCCTTTTGGTCAAACACATCCTTTGACTCAGCAACAAGACTAGGCTTTGACATGGGCCATCTATGGGCAGCAAAGAGTAGTATATCAGCACATGAGCTGTTCATTTTGTAACTCTTTCGAGGGTGGATGGTTTCTTTCTGTACGGTCTCGATCTCTAGTGCATCCAGCTCTTGATCCAAAACCTGGCAAAGATCCATCACCACACTTTCGTGTATCTTCTGCCACAAGTGGGCACGGAATATCTGAATTAGAGATATCTTTAGAGTTGGTATCTTTCCATGCATGAAAATCCCCGTGAGATCCAGCTGTACTTGGAAACCAACATATACATTTGCTCTGTTTATAGTAGGCGACCACCAAAGCGTAAACCTCCTGTTAGGAATTTGGTTAAGTCCAGACCGCTGTGCGTTAGTTAATTTCTTATACTTCATGGACTCCTCAAATCCTGAAGCCTTCTCCCAGAATAGACCCTCCCACGTTGGGAAGCTGAACCAAACAAATAGTAAATCAGTATCGTCACACGAGAAAACTTTACCAAACTCTTAGGACCAAGAAAAATAAAGCCTGCAAAATCACTTCAGATGTAATTAAGGTAGACAGAGGCCACCACGAAATATAACATTTTCAGAAAAACAAAGCATTGCAATTCACACTATACAGACTCAGACCCAATGACAAAAATGATTTAACAGTTACGATTACTCAACGTTGAAATTTTTAGATATAAAACCTTCATGTATACACATAACCACCCAGACAAAGCAATACAAAGCGAAAGAACTAATGCTACAAAAAAGGAGCTTACTATGTTCCCTTGAACAAAGTATGTTCAAGGATTCCTTCGACTCCTCCCAGAGCCTGAATAACGTCAGTTCTGTAATTGTTCAAGTTCCACAATTTCCCATCATGCCTCTGGTGCGTCCACCAGAATGGATTCTGCTTCAGTACCTGATACTGCTTAAAGTCTGTTCTCACTCGCCATCCTTTGTCATATGCAAGAGTGTGGCGATCTTTCTGAAACAAAGTGTTGATTCGAGGAATCCCACGATCCCATGAATCCTGAAAAATAAAATGTTTAACATGTAATGTGTCTCTTATGAATAATAGATACAAATGTCGAACACAAATGGTAAAACAAAGCAATTAATCATATTGAAACCCGAAAAGAAGAGGCAACTGATGGCACCAATATAAGGCTTGAATAAACAACCTAGTTCATGATAATAACACCCACAAAGCTAACCATTGAACACCATCCAGCGAAAGATATAAAGATGAATACGATGTGAATGACCATAAATAAACGCAAATAACTCACTTCCAAATCCTCCAAGGTTAACCGCCGATTCTGGGCCTGTGCTTCCTGCCTCTTCAAAGCATATTCAGCCCACACACGCTGAGAATCAATGAACTCACTCTCCCATGGCTGCCACAGTCAAAGAATATCATATAACAATGACACATCATAAACATAAAAATAAAATATATAGCAATAAAATAATTAACATGCCTGAATGTATCTATACAGATTAGGAATCAATTGATCTTCCTCGTGACTCATTCCACTCCTAAAATGTGTTACCCCAACATCAGTCTGCTTACTATACCGAAGGTCACTCTGGGGAATCAAGATATGGCCCATAGACAACATTCCAAGCCCTCCAATTTCTTTAGGTGTGTAGAAGATAACTGGGGGAAACCTGGCATCAAACAAGTTTCATAAATTTCTAGAAGTCCAAATAGAGAAGCAAAGAAACTACACGAGTCCAACTGATTTTTTTTACCTGCTAGGCATCTTTGAGTTCAACCCAATCTTAATACGAGTTTGGATCTTATTTTCACATTTTACTAGCAGATCCAGCAATTCTTGTGTGTGCACAGTTGCTTCACGGAAATATGTCATGAGTCCTGTAGCATATAAAAGGTTTTCAGATGGGAATGCCTGCATGCAGGCAAGTTAAAATTATGAAGCACAACAGCACCCAACAGAAAGCAAAAGAGATGTTCAATGTTAACCTATAAGTGCCGTATTCCACTTGTTAACAATCTTCGTGAAAGTTGTTGAACCTGAGGACATGAGAATTTGCCTCACTCGGTTCTCAAATACCTTCATGTGTTCATCATCTACCCTTAAGAAAGCAACAGCAGTACGCTCTTTTGTCTGCTCATTCTGCAGATTCCAAACTCCATCTCTTGTGTTGCTAAAAGCTTCCTGGGTCATTCGTATCTTGGGCAATATACGCACTTCAAAACCACACCTTCACATTGTAATAAATTATTAATGTACTCAATTTTACAGGCCATTCAATACGTGAAAAGAGAAGAGTGAATAATATAACAAAAGGACATACATGCTGAAAAGCAAGTTTGGATTATCTTTGCTGTACACAGACACAAAGCTGTTCTCCCATTCGAGGGTGGTAATACTCCGTGGAAGACGGTTTTTCATATCCCAAAAAACACTTCTTCCAAGATTCACTGAAACAAGAATGTCAGGACCAATTAGCAACATGATAATATCAAGAACAACAGCTGTATGCAAAATGAAACTGAAGTATCTGATCAGAGTATATGTAATTAATGAAATAGCATACCATCATGCTTCATGAGCCGCATTCTGGCATCTCTCGGCCAGCATTTCTTATTGTTATAACCAACCATATTTTCATTATTGGGATCTGGATGTTCCGTAAGATACCGCTGGATAAGATCCCTAGCCTCTTCATGAGTGAAGCGGAACAATATATGCACTTTATCAATATATCTTGAGTACAGCCGAATTGGATGCCGTGTTTCCACTCTGGTATCATGATAAGTAATAAACTCGTTCGGCATATGCGGTGGTCCAGCTATCTCACTAGCACGAGTCAAACCAAGAAGCAGAAGGTCCAAAACAAGCCCATAGTACTGCACAACAAATGAAGCAAACTGCAGGCCACGTATGAGCCCATAAGAGTTTGTATGACTCATATCTTTGTATGATAATACAACATTATTCTTTGCAGTGACATAATCGGCAATATTATGGTCAAGAACCAAACGCAGAAGCCTGCAAAAATAAATAACAAAATCAGCGTAAAAAATTCATTCAGTTACTTGCAAAACAACGGGCAGGTAACTCAGTTGACAGTATTACCTGTTCAGCATGGTTAGATCGATCTTTTCAAAAAACTTCTCGAACTTGGTCTGCAGCATGACCACGCATTGTCCCTCACTAGTGTCCCATATCCCTTGTAAGTTATTTATTCCCTGACACCATTTGTACACCAACAATGGTGGTGGTTCTGAGTCAGCCGGTTTAATCCAATTTGGGAAAAGGTGGCGTTTATCACCCTCGTACCACAGGTACTGGTCCAAATATGCATCAGTGATCTTCTCAAGAGGCTCAATCTCATAGACAGGAATCAGATAGCTATACAAATCCATGAACTCGATGCCAACCTGCAAATGCCATATTATTTGGATAAAAAACTTCCACAAAAAATGACAAACAAATATGTAAAACAATTCATTCTCCACAAAAAAATGCACAAAGTATCTTAAAACTTACTTCTTTAAAGGCACGTTGTGTAAGCAAATGACGTTTTATACGGGACAAAGCCTCGTGTGGGTTATCATAGGCCTGCTCAATCAAACCCAATTCTTCTCTTTGCAGCTGGTTCAACCTAACAGCCACACTATAGGACTCCTTCAACCTTTCCAGGGCAAGGATAAGTAGCTTTGTATCATGCTTGTAAGACAATGGAGGAAAAGGAATCGGAGAAAATTTTCTAGATTCCAGCCAATGCACAGTTGTCGTGTAAATGGCCACCGCTTCTTCTGGTGTCACATAGGGACCGTCTTTCAAGTAATTGTGCTGGCGTTCCTGCAAAGAGTTGTGGGAAAAGGCACATTAAGAAGAGAGCAATGGTTGGAAAATAAGGTGCGGAATTCCATATATCAATAACCATTTAAGTAGTACAAGGAGAATAATGTACACACCTGTTCGGCCTTCAACCAAAGACGGGTCAATCTTCCAAGATTCTTTCGGCATACGGTCTTGTCTACTGTGGCTCCCCTTCTAATACGTTCCCTGTTATAATGCGCAACATTCGTCCACCAGTCTGCTTTCGATTTGACATAACGAAGTATCATGTTCTCAATTGGAACTGGCAAACCAGGTACCTTACATGACCCAAAAAAAAAAAGAGAAGCTACTCAAAAGACAGGACAATAAGAGATCATGAATATGTATAGAAAGTAGTTTAAATAGCTGATAGTACCTTCCAAGGAATATTGGCTTTCCAGCAACGCCATGCTTCACTCAAATGCTGCAAAATTGTTCTTGCTTTGTTTGCTTTGATACCCTCTGCAAGGAAAAGATGAGCATATTCAGAAGAAAGAATGCTTGATGAGTAAAACATTAAGGAAAATAGAAAATATCATAGGTTGCTTGCCAGGCATTGCATCAAGGACATCATGCATCACAGCAGCACGAAGCTCCAAATCAAAGTGGCTTTCAACGCGTTGCTTTGTCACTGTTTTAGCAACTCCTTTGGAATGGCGTCCTTCAAATTGCCTCGCCAGCAAATTCCCCAGCCACCTTTCCAGGAGAGGAACTATGCCACGAAGGAAAAACAACCACACTCTCCACATAGGTGCCCAAAAGCCACATCCAGGACCCTTGCCCACGGGCCCAGTATTAAAACGATAATAAATTAAATGCTTCAAATCTTTGCACATTCGAATCTGCCGCATCAATCGGTACTTGTATCTGTACATACCCGTTAACTGGCCAACATGTGAAAAGATGTATTGCAACCCATCAGCCAACTGAAATGCATCTACGTTACCCAACCGAAACTGGATATTTGCATCAACGACAAGCTTCGTCAGACGCAGAATTTCACGGCAAAGGTGGAAGGCATTACCAAAACGTGATTTTTTTCGTTCCTTAGTGGTAAGGGTCTTCACAGGTTTCAAGTTAAAATTGTAGTCGAGGTGGAGATAATTCAAATTTTTTCTATGGATCAGCAGGTTCAGCATATTATACCCTTGCTTACAGACTTGCAGACCTGCTTCAGCCCAATCAAGTTCGGTGGTCTGGAAAAACTTTGTAGCTTGGAGAGACCTGAAGAGGTGCCTCTTCTTCTGAGCCTTGGGGGGTCTGTGATGGAGTTCATTCAACACAAAGCACTTCAAAAGTTTCTGGTAACTGACGCGAACTTTGACAGGGTATGATGGAGGACTGTTGAGGAAAAAAGTAAGACAATGAGTACCAGAAAAAATTATCAAAACCAGGACACTCATGAGTTATAGAAAAGAAATACATCATACTTAAATATTCTTACCAGTGCTCCTTGAACCACTCAGACACCAGAGGGATATCTTCAGCACGCCTCGTCCGACCAGATCGCATGTTGAAGGGCCTCGGGGCAAACAATAATGAAATCCCTGCCGCAGTAGTGTCAGTATATATAGGAGTGCTTGTTAGTAATGGTTCAACTCCCTCTGGCAAGACAAAATCATCTTCATCATCTTCTTCATAAATCTTCTTATCCCGCCTATCCTTGTTTGTACTTGTTATGGGGTGAATCAAAGGATCGTAATAGAACGCAGGCAAGTCAGGGTCCTCCGTTTTAATGTACATCACCATAGGAGTATGATAGATGCTAAGCTTTACTTTCCTTGGCCTATTATTATAAAGATGGGGGAATGCAATCCTGTACTCAGTCCTCAAAGGCGAGCGGATGATCAGCTTATTTATGTCATTAAATTCATTCCAGTCCTCATCTCCTTTCTCCATGTCACGATACAGGGGCTCAAACTTAGGACCACCTACAAACACCATAATTTTAAGAAATATTGTCAATTTACAGAAACTCAACGCACTATTATATTTTACTTGTCATCCTAATACTCATTTTACATATAAAAAAACATGGATAGTTTTAAAGATAATGACATGGCACTATCCCCACAGCAGCATATGGCAACACAAGCAAAAAAAAAAAAAAAAAAAAAAAAAAAAAAAAAAAAAAAAAAACACTAGAAGCTCACAGAACAGATTTAACATCTAACATACCAGGGATGCACATGTTCAGAGCTTTGGCTGTGAAGAATGACTCCATGTCAAAAAGGTAAAAATAATTGCGATCAATTAGATCTGAGAGCAATTGCCCGGCAAGTCGGTGAAGTGTTGCCATAATCGGGAGTGAGAGATGCCATTTCCGATAACTAGGTCCATTAATTAGCTTTGTCCTCACAAGTGGTTTATGATCATAGAACCAAGTGTAGACAGCTGAATCCTCTTCTTCATCCAGTTCCAACTGAATGGGCTCTAAAGGATCCACATCAAGGAGGTTATCAGCATAATCTAGTGGAGGCTCCTCATCATCAAATGGTGGAAAACGCATCCTCTTGAAATGACGACGATCTCTCTTCTCTCTTCTCATCATAATCCACATGGTACCCCACTGCAAAGATTACCAAATTAAGAAATTAAATTTGAGAATTGATAACAGAAGGAAATTATAAATAGGGAATACTAAACAGAAAATAATTCACTGGCAAAAGAAACACACCTGAGCCAAATAGATAGGTTCAACGACCCATGGAATCTCATTGACAAATGTAATAGCCCCAGTAATATGGTACAGAACCTTCACTTCACGAACCTAAGAACGCAGAACAACAAGCAAGTTAATGCAACCATAACAAATGGATTCGGCGCTCAATGTATTACACAGCATTCACTCATCAAAGAGCCAAGTGACCATTGATATAATCCGAAATTTATACCTGCTCCCAAGGCATTGGCATATTCTCAAGAAGTTTGTATACAGCATGAGGTACAAACTTGAGAGCTCCTAAATACACGCGCTTATCATGGCGATATTTCTTCGATGACATGTCACCATGATCCCTGCCAGAAAAGAGACACACTCCAGTCAATTCAAACAACAGATAGAATTAAAGAAAGCAACCTAAAGAAGAAGAAGAGTCATGGTTACAAATAGTGAGACTTTAATAACACAACATTATAAGATCTTACGTTACCAACTCTGCCGTAGACATTCTGAATTAATAGATGATTCAGCAAAGAGAAATATAAGCTTTAAGGTGCTCTGATCGAGCGTGTGCATTAAAAAATACCAGGGTCTATCATTCATCTTATAAATCATCTAATTTTAACTTTTGACCAACTTCTACGGTTTTATTAATTATTCTACATTTAGCTTCTTTTCAGCAACCAATACTGATACAAACAAAATGGATGACCACAATAACATCCACACACTCACCCAGCAGAATGTGTTCCCTCATCTTATAATGATTGATTAGCTTTGGTATTCCGATAAAACATTAACACTCAAAAATAAACCCTATCCATCAATTTGGATTTTTCCATCAACTGGTTGCAAGACACTACTCAACTTTCCAAATATATATAGCAGTACATAGAACATATTTCAGCAATACATATATCGTGTTTTAGCACAACGCATATAAATTGGTCGTACCTACAACATATTTAGCAATATGAATAACAAAATGCAGGGTTCCTAGTTCCTAGGTTCAGAATTAGTTCCTATTTGATCCATTGCCTACATATGTGTATGTCTGCGCATACATTTTTACAATTTAAATTACAATTTCCGGTCAAACCTGTTAACACAGTCACAACCATGACCAATAGTAGAAAAGCTACTCGACCACAAGGATAATTGGAACAAAACCTCAAGGCAACCAAAAAACAATACCTAATGATTTTTCTGACATGTTCTGGAGGCATATCCTCCTTCTGCGTCTCAACAAATCCAAACTTCCGTTTATCACTGTAACGCTTACTGTTGAGCTGCATCCACTTCCTTGCCCTCTCGTCCAGCTGAGACTCGGTTGGAACAACAGTGTAGGACGGCTGCGAAGACGGCACCGGCGGCAGAACAGGCTGTGCTCCGCTGGTCCCGGGCGGAGCCATCATCGGCGGCATGGCTCCACTTCCGCTCGTCCCCGGCGGCGCCGGATTACTCATATTGTTTCCCCACATATCCTGCCCGCTGTTGTACATGTTTACAACGAGCAAAAACTTAAAACCCTAGCTAAAATAATTCGCTTAAAGCTAGATTCAATGTTACTACGGATCTCCTCATCAATGGGTAGAAACTGCAGCGGCTTAAGTTTTCGAGGTTATCCGAAGAGGGAAAAGGGCTTTTTCGTCTCGATCTCCTTCGAACAGGATCGAAGCGAGTGTAGAGTGAGAACGGTGTGCGACTTGGGTTTTCAGGTTTTTATATAGGTAGTGAGAGATGAGGGAAATCTATTGGTTTTTTTTAAGGATAATTATCTATTCTCTTAATCTCGTTATAAAATCATCTTGTCGGTTGTTTTAACAGTTAGATCATCTATCTTATATTAACTAGTACAATACCCGTGTATTACACGGGTGTTTGTTAAAAAATTATTCTTAAATTTTAAAATTAATGAGAAAATTATATTAAATTTAGTTTACTTTTTTACAAAAAAAAAATATATTACTATATATTTTAGAATGATATGTGTTACTTATGACTTACATGTGTTATATTATATTAGTTTTTATAACTTATATCATATAACTACTTGAAATATAAATATATTAGTTGATAAATAATTTTATTTTTTCAATTAATATTAAAAATAATTTTATTATTGTTATAAAGATAAATATAAATTATTTTTTTTATACATACAATATGGATATTAAATCGAAGCTTATCAAAAGAAGATTAATTTGATATATTACATATGTAAAACTGATAAAAAATACAAAAGTTATTAACTTTTATAATATATACAATTCAATAGTTATAATAAGGAATGATATTAAAATACAATTAATACATGTAACATGACCATAAATAATCAACATATTTATGGTAATCCGAACCTAATTATTTTTGGTTTGGAATTAAATTAAAATTTACCCAAGCCTAATAATGAAGCATGTAATTTTGCCACATAGGATTCCGAAGCACCAAAAGCAGCCACGTAGGCTCAGCGCATTCTGTATTAATATATAGGGGGGATTACATGTGTATCCAACGGTTATAATTCTTGACGAGATGGTTCTGTAACCGGACCCTACCATTTTCCTCTCTTATATATATAAAAAGGAAGCAATCACAACTAAGTAAAAAACAATGCCTTTGTGTTTGCAAAACGACGTCGCTAGGTTAGATAGAAACAACATCGTTTGATTGACTCTAGGATTACATGTTTTAGCTTAAATTGATACGTTTTCGCTCACAGGTATTTTCTTCTCTCTTCGCATGCGTTCGATTTCCATAGAAATCGATTCATTTTTGTCTTTCTCTTCGTGTTTTCGATTGATTTTCTCTTATTTTTGTCGTCACTCCTCCAGCTCCGCTCGCCCAATCTACAGTCCCTCCCCCCTCCGCTCTTCGCCGTTGGGAAGCCCCTCGAAGACCTTCTCTTATCTAATATTCTCTTCAACCTCTCTGAATCCGGCTCAGACATCGATTCCGACAGCGATCTCTTCTTCTCCAAAACCCAGCTCGCCAGGAAGTAATCCCGGCTCGATAAGGAGATCGTCTGCACTATTCTCCCCAGCGAGATCGATAAGCTGAAACCTAATTCCTTCCAAGCGCTAACCATCGACGAGCACCATATCTGTGTGGGGGTTCAGGAGGAGATTTGTTCTTATTAATTACTAGGTCTGGGAGTGACACGGGCATATCATGTTGTTTGATAAGGAGAACGAGTACACACCAGAATATACATACGGGAATTACTTCGAGAGGCTTGGCGCGGGCAAGAGGTAAATTATGAGCAATGATAAGAAGAAACACATTGTTGATGATGACGATGAAAAGGCCGAGGACGCTAACAAGGTGACGATTGGAGGGCTAAAAGAGTTGATCAAAAGTGTGGAGTCGGGCTGCGGGCGGATCCTTAATCGGACTATGAATGCAAAATTTGGATAGTTTATTCAACATGTTGATTTCTTTGCTTCAGGGACTATCGTGTGTTCATCTACATTATTCATTTTTCATTTGTTTTGCTAGAGCTGTAAGATTTCTGTCCATTTTTCATTTTTCAATTAATTGTAGTTAAGATAGTTCTAAAATTTTCTGGATTCATGACTAAAAAATTTGTTTGCACCATAGTTTTTAAACTTGGCCCAGGAATCGACCCGGGCAGGTCTCCGGGTCACCGGTTCAACCGTCGGGTCATCAGGTCAATTGCTAAACCGAATAATTAATTTTAAAATTTTTTAAATTATATATATTGTATTTTGGACATGTAAATATACATAAAAGTAACAAACATAAATGTTTTGCATATAGAATCTGTACATCGAAGTGTTATAAGAATTATATCTCACAATAAATATTTACTATATCAATATATTTACATAATTTTTATTTTTTATATAAAAAAAATATTTAAAAAAATAAAATATATAAGGACCGGGTCAACCGGGTTGACCCAGACGGGTCAATGGCCCGGGTCGACCAGGTCAAGGCAGAGTTGGCCGGGTTTTGACCGGGTTCATTGTTACCCGGTCTAAATAGCCTACCCGGACCGGTTCAGGCTCCGGGTCGACTGGGTCCCGGGTCGACCCACCGGGTCGGTCCAAGTTGAAAAACAACTGTTTGCACCTTTGTTATTTTTTTATTTTTTTTTTGTAGCCAGTCACGGTATCCGGAGCTATGCTCCGACTAATCCGTCGGTCAACCCGGGTCGCACACCTGGCAGTGGTGGATGAGTCTCCCAACAATGGTTTGCATCTTTGTTATTTTGTTGTTTAATGCATACTGCTTTTTGTAAGGTAATATTTTGTTGTTGGGTTATCTTTGTCTTATGATTCATGTTGAAATTTGACTATTTGAATATATAGATTTTTTAATTTAATTTTGCCTGCCTATGAGATATATGAGATAGATACATGGTGTTTATGTTTTTATACATATGAGTTCTGAATTTTCTTCATACATGACCAAAAATATGTTGAACCTTTCTAATTTTGTTGTTTGTTGCCTACTGTTGGTTTTTAGAGGAATAATTTCCTATTGGGTTCTCTTTTTCTTATGATTCACGTTCAGATTTCACACTATAATTAAGTTCATGTTGTTTATGTTTGCATATGATGTGTGTGTGTGTGTGTGTGTTTGCGTATATCTGCAAGTATGTTATGTTAGGAAATATACAAAAAATCAATGTTCTTAAGTTAAACCATGTATATTGTGGTTGCCTACGTTTTTTGTTTTTGTGTTATTTTTTCTTCGTATGTTGGTTCATTTCATTTGTTTGTTTGTTGAACCTATCAGTCGCAATTTGTATTTTTTACTAAAATAATATAAAAATTTATTTGATTAGCTGCCAGACGGCACATAGTGTTATATTTGTATAAAGTTTTTTGCAAAGGGCAAGAAATTTAATTTTTTTTACACGGGTTTTCCTATTTATATTTGGTAATAGAAGTGCTTTTAGTTTAAGTTTGTGCAAGGACCATCGTAAAAGGTTTGGTTGCTTAATATCAGGTAATACAATAATGTTGTTGATTCATTAATTTAAAAAAAAAGTGTTGTATACCTACTTAGTGTATCTCGATTAGTTCTTTTGTTAAACTTCTGTTAAACTTGCTCATCAATTTCCTTTTTTTTTATGTCGAATCAGCCTTTTATCCTTCCTGACATATTTTTAGTATGTTATACTTCAATGCAACATTATCATTTAGTGGATATTCATGCAGTAGATAAGTCATCATGCAGCTCTATTCAATTGGTAACACGATAGGTATAGGTGTAGTAAGTGGAGTTTCATAAAAGGAAATGGTCAACTACAAGAAAGATTTAATCCTTTAAGAAATTATCTGTTTGTTATGACTTGAACCTTTACTTTAGTAGAATGCATTCCATTTTTATTTGCTCTTTCGAACAGCATTCATGCTTTCCTAACATAATAAATTTTCGTTGTGCATGACTTTTACTTATCTCAATGGTACTTTTCTAAATTCAATTTTTTACTATTTAGTTCGCAATTCTCTTATTTCAAAACTTAAAACAATAACAATAAATAAAAAAATCTTTCATTTTCAATTTCGTGCCATCTACAAAAACGTTTTGTGTGTATCCATTTATGGTTTTTTTCATAGTTTTTAGACCCGAACTTCCTTCCGGGTCATCGGTTCACCAGTTCAACCGTCGGGTCACCGGCTCAATTGTTGACCCGAAAAAACACACACACACACGCACACATATATATATATATATATATATACACGCCCGCACTATACGATAAACCCATACCCATACATTAAGTATTTAAAAAAAAAAAAAACCCAAACATTCATAATGTCATAAACTTCAAAATAAAAATGATTCCAACATTTTAATCATCAAAGATAACAAAAATCATGCTTATCATTAGTAATTCAAACAAAAAAAATATCTAATATTCTCAACAATATTCATAAAACAAATCATACTAATAGCCCGAAGCTTCTGAATTGCCTGTTTCTCCCGTAAGGGGAACGCCGAAAGTGTCAACAAGCCTCCTATTTTGCTCCATATTAGAAGGTTCCTTGGTTGCATCATCATTATTGGCAACACCACCATGTTCTTCTTCATCATCGTCATCTGTAATGTCATTCAAATTCAATTATGTACGAGAAGAGTTAAAAAATTATACAATGTTCTATGTTGAAAATAAAATAATATAATAATTAATTAAAAATATCAAACCTAAATCACAATCTGCAGCAACATCCTTCTCAGTGGTAACGTTAGAGGTAAATTCACGTTCAAGAATTTCTAATTCTTCAATCGTATTCAAATGACTCAAAACTTATTGAGTCATAGCTCTTCTTCACCTCTTTCCTATATATATTGCAAAGTTAATGTAAATAAACAAGCATTAAGTGGCTCTCTACTGCAGGTAAAGAGATTCTCATTAAATCTGTACTTAATGCTCTTCATGTCTTTGCCATGTCTTGCTTTGTTCTGCCTGTTACCCTATGCAAAGAAATCTCTAGTGTTTGTGGGCAATTCTGGTGGAGCAAAGGGC